CTGTCATATAGTTAACCATTTGAAGTTAAACAAAAATTATTACTTGTAAAATATAACTTGTGCTGAATACTTGTTTTTATGTATCCTGCATTCACTGATTTTTTAAAATATTTGCTATCATTATAATTGAAATTTAAAACATCACATTGTTACTGTTAATATTAATATTAGTTTCAAAATATTGTTGCATAGGGTAAGCAGTAATTAATCGAGAATGTTGTTTAACCACATTTCGGTCTAAATAATTTTTTGAGTTATGATGTCATAAATTCTCATTCCCTCTATCACTGTTTTAGTAGTCTATATTTTTGATAATTCATATTGTTGCTCCAGTCATTTCGGTTCACATGTTGTGTTCAAGGGAAAAGTGAAAAGTGGGGCAATCCTGTTTTTCGAAATAAAAAGAAGAGCAGTCAACCAAAAGGGTACCGAGGTTAATCGCGCGTGTGAAATTTATTCATTGTCGGTCGATGAAAAACTTTTCGTTGCCGAACCCTAATTTTCAAGGTTGGTGGTTGCAGTTTTAGAATATGGCTCGTCGACTTTAAACGATCTATGTTTTAAATGAAACGTGTAATTTACAGTATACAAATAGAAAGGGAATTGGTAAATGACAGTCCTTAATTTTATGATTAATTATTTCATTAAATCCTCTATTATGTGCTTATTATTCGTGGAAAGCCCGTAACTGTGGTTAAAGATAAAGTTCGGGATCTATACCGAAACGCTTTTCTGATAAAAAGTTTTTAAAGCTCAAATGCTGCTTCAGGAACGATAATTCCACTATATTAAAAAGTGGAAAACTTCTAATAATTAATGTGCACGTTATATGTATATCTATATTTCGGAATACGTCAACTTTTTAATTTAGAGTGTTCGCTCAAATATTACGTTATTTTGTTCGTTGTTAGATAACCTGAATAATTGTGTGACTGTTTGTTTGTACAGTTTATGCATCAATTATTCTGTTATTTTCATACCGAAATTATAAGTTTTCGGAATATTATATTTTTGATAACTATATAATCTCTGCATATATTTATTAAGGTAGTTAATTAAGGTGTTTTCAAAACAGTAAATTGAAAAAAAAATTTAGTTTTAATTACAATACAGAATTACAATTGAAAATTGAATAAAAATATCTCTATGAGAAAACAACGTTCATATTTTTTAATTAAATTTTTCATATTTATATTACATTTGTACATCAAATTTTGTAACAAAAAATGAATGACAAAAACAAAAGTAGATAGCTAAAAATGTCTACTGTAAGTACGTTTTGTATTCATATTCCCTGTGATTCTTTATTACACTAGTATTTTCTTCTTTTACATCACTACTCAAATTCGTATTTACCCATGTTAAATTTATTGAAAGCCACAGTA